GTACAAATAGTGGTAAGTCATAAGAACCTGTTGAAATTATCCAAGTAAAGGGCAACCTGAGGTAAGCCATAGTAAGAAGATGGAACAGAAGGTGAGATAAACCAGGAACATGGCCAAAAGATTGGATGAGTGGTTGATTCATTAAAATTTAGCCAATGATGTGTAGAGCCTTGATAAACTTTGGAACAACTTGAGTCAAACAGGAACCCTACTTGTTTGACTATTCCCAAACCTACATGACAGGAGAAGGGACTGGTTGGGTTTTGTACCTTGGGATGAAGGTGCAAGCAAAGAAGAAAGGAGGAAGTCTGCTTTGACCACAAGGAGGCTGTGAGTCCAGGGCACAGATTGATGTAGGGGAGTGTTGAAAGATATAATGCCCCTTCTGGACTCTGCTTTGAGTAGAACATGATATGGTCATTCAGTTAGCCTTCTGGACCAGCCCTCAAGAGGAAGGGTAAAAAAATCTTTGAGAGAGTATCATAAATTGAAAAAATAGATGACTTTAGAAATACTTGATGTTCTTAAACATACTGAAAGGGAACTCTCTTTCCATTTAGAGGAAAGAGTGAAGGTTTTCATCAGAGCAGGGAGAGGCCAATGGCAGCTTCAGAATGAAATCAGTGCTTTGGGGTAAGGGAACAACATTAGCAGTGGGAATCTGTGGGGGATGCACAGAACAGCTGGTTTAGTGGTTTATGAGCTTTTAAGGCCTGCTAAACCTGACATGGTTCATGTTCAAGAATGTCCTCCCTCCCTTCTTGCTGGTCTTCCTGCCTACCTTTGAGTACTTTCCATATGTCAGATAATAATAGACTAGGTACCTGGGGGATAGAGAAGGTCCCATTCTGATGGAGCTTATAGTCCAGTTGGGAGTGGGACTGAGGGGAAAAATACATCTGGATATTAGAACAAAACAAAAAGAATACTGTCTTTATGATCTACCACACTGACTCCTCAAGATGTGATGTGTTTTGAGTGTATGTGTATTTATAGTTTAGGTGTATGTGTGTGTGTGTGTGTGTGTGTGTGTGTGTGTGTGTGTGTGTGTGTGTG